AAAAATTAATAAAATAAGAAATAGACATTAAAACTACAAATATACCTCAGTAAATGCACATGTGTTTAGGCAGAGATTGGATACAGGCTATGAATCTATTATATTTTTTGTTTACATTTTGAGGTCTCTGGTCAAAGGTTAAAAGAGAGAGAAGGCAATGACACAAATATTTTGTTTATGTAAATACCAGCATACTCAATAAAAATTCATGTTTAATAAGGCAAGATCAGTGATCTGAGTTTCTGGATGGTTGGGTTATTTAAGGTTACTGAATGGTTTAAGCAAAAACATGTTCTGCTTTGCAGCACAGAAAGATAACATGTTTACATCTCAACTGGAACTTATCTTGGTCTTTCTGTGGTTGTGAGGATTTTTGCCAAGTTTTTGTTATGCACTGGAGTAATGAGTGCATCTAGGATAGTGTGATGGAAGTTCAGTGCAATTACTTCTTACAACACTGAAGTTACTTAGATGCATTGGTAAAAGTTCAGTTAGAATAACTAAAATTAATTACAGTTGCTGAATGCTAGGATAATGAGAGATATAGTGAGATAAACTGAATAAAGAATAATTATTGCAGACAGTTAGTGATATTCCAGTTTGTGGTTTGATGGAAATTTATCAGAAAGCTTTTGATTTCTATGCCAATTTTAAAACAATTTCTAAATGCTAAATTTCAGATAGAAAGCTTTTCAGATTTCTGGAGCTGACCAATCAAACATGATTGTGGGAAAAACATAGACAAAGAAAAACATAAATAAGGCTCTTCACATAGAATATTAACTTATAGTGGATATTTTTTTACACTCGCTTCTTTAGCAGTAGCTTTGCCAAATAAGTAAGAGTAAGAATATCCAGCACAAAAAGTTATTTTTGTTTTAAATTTTGATATGGCAGCAGATTGTTTTATTTTCGGCATACCTCGATGAAGAAGATGGCCCAGAACTTTGCCCAGGTGGGCGACTCACAGAGCGCCCCGTGACTAGCCAGATGTGTCCCTTTGACGGTGATGACAGCATGAGCCAATCCCATCAACAGCATCCCCAAGGAAAACCACAGCAAATGAGACGAGCCTAGCAGCAGGAAGGCTGGAAGACAGATGACAGGAGATAAATGTGTCCATAGAATTGTTTTTATATTTGTTTCTACAAAGTTTCTTAACATTGCTTTAAACTGAATTTTAATTAAAAAAAAATTTATCCCTGCTGTGCCACATTAGTTTTAAAGTTTCTGTACTAAAAGGCTGAAACAGCGATAGACTAAATGCCTTTAAAAAAAAGGACGAAAGAAAACAAAATGATGGTCAGTCTTAATCTTTGTTCTGGTAGTTTTCTAACAAGCCTAAGAGCTCAACCTCGGAGACAACCCAGTTAGAATGTCAAATGTTAAAGTTTGTGATAGGACGATTAGAAAAAACTTGAAAAAGCGTGGCTTGTTCAGAAGGGCAGAAGGAGAAAGCCTCTTCTCTCACAAGAGAACATGGCAGCATGGTTTTGGTTTGCACATATGCATCTGAATGGACCAAGCTGAGATCTGACCCAAACTGGGCCATCAACAGGACAATGATCCCAAACACCACAAGAAATCCTCAACAGAAAGGCTGAAAAAGAAATGAAGGCAGGTGCATGAAGAGTCCAGTCAAAGTACAGAGCTGACTCAAACACTATGGGAGTGCTGGAAAGAAACAAATGTCTAAAAACTGACAAACGCAACTAAAATTGGATATAGAAATAGCTTCTGACTGATTGAACTTTAAAATTAAAATATGTCTTTAGTTTCATAAATTAACATATAGTGGCTTCCAAAAGCATTCATATCCTTTGAACTTTTCCATGTTTTGTCATATTACAATCACAAACATAAATATATTTTATTGGGCGCAATGTAAAAGACCAAAATACAAAGTGCTATACAATTGAGACATGGAAAAAAAGATTTACATGATTCAAAACGTTTTTGTTTTTTTTTACAAATAAAAAACTGAAAAGTGCAGTGCATACCTTTCAGTTTCTCCCATGTAACCAATTGCCCTCAGAAGTCGCATGATAAGTGTTAAATAGAGTCAGTCTGTGTGTAATCTAATCTTTGTATAAATACAGCTGCTCTGTGAAAGCTTGAGAGGTTGGTTGACAGATTTTATTTTATTTTTTTTGGCAAATACCTGGTATTTTTTTACATATGCTTTAATTAGGCCAACTCTGATATTTGATAACCTCAACCATGGCGATACTCCTAAACTTCAGTGTTGCTGTGTCAAAGCAGGACAGTGAGCATAAATCTTCACAGCAGACTGCCAAAAAGACAAAATCATTTCCAAGTGCTTTATTGAAATCGCTGCAGATATAACATCATTCAGTGCAGAGATAATATTGTTCAATAAGCAGAAAAAAGTTCCAACAAGATGATCCTCAAATAATAGATAAGAACTTAACACAGTTAAGTTAAGATCAACTGAAAGATAATGAATCACAAAGATCCTCCAGTGGGTCTTTGCTGTCAGATTTTGTTAAGCTCCTCCAGCTAGTTTTTTTAACTTCTCAATCTTCCCCTTTTGTTCCCCATTTGCCCTATACCCTCGATTTTGTTGACTAATAACTAAAGAAACCAGAAACAAAATGGGGAAAAAATCTGGTAAAGTCTAAATGAAAGCTTTAAATAAGTTATGGAAACCATGCAGAACAAATAATCAAGTTTCCGTTTATTTTTTTTCCTAAAGAAGTGGTGGACTGTTAGGAGCATCTCCAGCTTGAGGTAAATTAGCAGGCAGATCTGGTAAAATGAAACCTTATTTGTCACCAGAGACAGAAGAGCTGCTCGTATCTGACACCTTCTCATCACATACAACATTCCTAACGTCACTTCACATGTAGATTAAAGGCAATTCTTTAATCTAAATCTAAATGCAAATTTACACATCTCCATTATGTAGGATGATTTAGCAGTTCATTATGTCCATGAAGTAAAAAGATTATCAGTGGTTTGTTTTTTATTTCATTTGATCTAAAATCCAGACTGCAGTCTGTGCTCTTGATCATGTATACAGTCACATGGGATTGTTAAACTTCATTAACGTCTCTGGATCCTACAAATTCTAAATCTATAAACCTGTGCTAATCAGCTTGGTTTCAGATTTCAGACCTCACTGTTTCAGCTCAAAGTAGAATGATGCACAGTTTGCAAATTCTTTTACAAATGAGAAAATCTTTTAGTGTATTCACTTCAGTTTATTTAGTTTGTGCCAAATTGCAATAAGTCATCTTGTTGGATGGATGATGGTTGATTTAACTCTGACCATCATCCATTTAACTCCTACTAGCTTCCTCACGGCGTAATTCTGCCATCATCATCTATCGCTGTGGAAATGCTGTGTTCAGGGGTTGTACAGTGATCATTTCCTAGTTTCACATGACTGGATCACCTGCTCACATAGATGACCATTGGTAAACATGTCCTGTCAACAGATTTCTTCCACCTGAACTATCGATCACCGTTGATCCTCCAGAGTCAACTGTCTGCTGTGTACCTTGATCATACTAGTTTTGATTATTCATAAATGTCCTCCAACAACCCTTTAATGGCTTACCAGATCAGCTGGATTTATATTGAAATTTATGTTGACCATACAATTGTGATGAAACATGTTAAAGCTTATGTAGTTTGATGTCATTTATCAACATTTTGAACACAATGAGCCATTTTAGTTTTCAATGTTTTAAATGTTTCAATATCTCAGATTGCTATCTTCTTATGTTTACAGATGTGTCAAGTTATTCCTTACCAGGTACCAGGCACAGGAATGCTGCAGTCAGGATGCTGCAGTCCACTCCCCTCTTCTCCCACCAGCTGCTCTCTTTCATCACCTTCTGCACCAGCTTGGTTAGCTCCATCATCAGAGACTCTTTCCCCACATCCTCTTCTCCTCCATTTGTCACCTCCGAAAGCACTCCGCTTCTCAGTTTTAGCACATCATCCCATCCTTGGTGATCCTGGATTTCTGGAATTTCTGGGCACTCATTCTGTACGCATTGCATGCTGAAAACCAGCTCAGGACAGAGTCACAGTCTCCCCCTGAGAGCAGCCAGAGCCAAACGCTGCAGCACTGAATGCAAAGTCCACTGAGGAAAGTCAACACTGACAAACTCCCTGTTGGTGAGGATCATTGTCAGAGAAGCCCGACCCCCTTCCTGTAGCCGTTTTGGATCCTCCCGTCCCACCTCTCTTTTTTTTTATGTCATTCCTCCTCCTCGCCTTGACTTTGAATCTAATGAGGTGCTGGTTGAAGATTTAACAGGATGGCTCCAGAAATCCTGCAGAAAAAAAAATGCATGTTTCAGTTCCCCCTCTCTGGTGTCTCATGCATTCTGTATGACGCTCTCCCCTTCGTTGTTCCTCTGCCTTTGTGTGCTCTCCTCTTCCCCCTCCCCTCTGCTGCTGTAACCTTAGCAAACATCCTGGGAAACACAAAGGCTGAGCAACAGCGTCCACTTCTGTTTTTTCAAAGTAGGAAGATAGCTTTTTCTTTTAGAAGTTCATTCACATTAATCTGCATCCTTCTGGAATCTGGATAAATATGATCTGACTATGAAAGGGGAAAAAAAAGGTGGAAATTAGAATTGTCCTTGTATTTTTCCAAACTGAATTGTATTTTTCAGGCTGGGTTCAACAATACAAAAATGTTGGAGAAGTGTTACAAAACTGTGAGGTTCAAGAAAATGAGAAGTGCCAAAAAAATCATAAAAACAATACCTAAAATGACAAAATACCTAGGTGCTACAAAGAAGAGGGAGAAAAAAACATAAAATATCACAAGAGCTTGCTAATGCTAATACAAAAAAAGAGAAGAGTGGAAAATGGTTTCTAAGAAAAGTTAAAAACAAAGAAAATTCTACTCCAAAGAGAGGAGGTATGTACTGAGAACCACAACGACATAAATCTAACTAAATTTAAGATAAATTGAATTTCTTAATGCATTCATGCCAATGTATAAGTAAACCAAGCTCACACTCAACTCTTTTATTTTATTTTAATAAAAGATATAATGTTTGTGTGAACATTTTCAGGCAGTTATTACAAAATAAAAATAAAAATGATCATACATGCAGGGTCATGTCCTCTGAAAGGGCTGAAAGGTGATGCGACATGCAGCAACCTGAAACTGTAGCTTTATCTTATGCAAACTTACGTAACTTAGTCCTGACACCACATCGTCTTACTGTTACCACCATGTCTGCAGCAGTCTTAGATTAGTTTCGATCACAAACATACAATATGGTCAATAATGTACACGTGCCAAACAATAATATTTTGTTTTAAAGTACAATATTTGAATTTTGATTTTTCTTCAATGGAGCAAGAGATCTACAGTAACAATAAAGCAGAATTTATTGGCGGTGAATCAATAGAAACCTACCTGTTTGTGGAAAAATGTTAAAATCAAAACCTGTATCTTATTGTAAAGTTTGTAATTAGTTTTGTTTAGTTTGTTAATATTTGTGTGTGTCTAGACTCATAATATGGAGACAGATTTACATTTATGTAAATATACATAATATCATGTCACAAAATACAAATAAACTATGTTCTTGACAATTCTTTGGTAGGAGAACCTACAGCATGAAATTGAGTGGAGTTACAAATGGTAGCCACAAGATGGTGGCAATGATTCTTTGGAGATGAACAAACCCACACCAGTGACTGAACCGATAAAGGGCCATAATTGCATTTGTTGACATGCTTTACCTTTGATGATTTTGAATTGGAACCAAAACATACTATTTCCTGATGATTAGTGATGAAAATGATCAAAGCCAATACATGCTCTGTTTTGCCTCATGATAATATGCAATATGAGCCAAAGTATGTCATGAATATATTTGCTGGGAATGAAGACGTAATGTGATACTCCCGCTTTAAAACAGATAAAGTCTCAAAGCGCAGAGTCCTCAATTGCTTCTGGTTCTTCAAGAACATCGAGACGCCTCTTGCAGGCATCTAGCATCTTTTTTCTAGGGCCTAATGGGATATGAATGCTACTGAGGTCCTGATCTGAACATAGCAACAGGGCTTCCAAGTCAATCTTCTCCCGACTGAGGATCGGCATGAATTCACTCAGGCCCTGAGAGGCTAGAAAAGTTTCCAGAGGGTTATTCTCTGGCTCCATATCCTCATCCAACCCGATGTCAATCTCTTCCCAAGGTAATTCTTGCAGGTTCGTCTCCTGTAGGCTAAACGCACTGCCAATACTGTCTTCATCAAAGCTAGGAGAGCGCTGAGGCAGGCGTCCACGGAGACGGACATTAGGTGCTCGACCAACAGGTTCACTTCCTACAACACTTCCTTCATCTCGTCCTCCAATCCCGAACATGCCACCTGTCATATAGTTCCTTCTAAACACCATGGTGCCAAGCCCAGGCCGTGTGAAAAGGGAGTCCCGCCCAGAGTCTGCACTGATTTCTGAATAGGCAGCTTCATAGAGGCCTGGATCACTCATGGCACGAGAAACTGTGTCAACATCATCATCATTTTCCCGGGGGAACATGTCCCGGATGTTGAGACGGGCCCGCTCTTTGGGGTTGGCGTAGGTGCCTTGTTTGAGGAACATGACGTCGCTACCAAGCTGCAAGCCAGTGAGCGAGCGAATACTCTTTCTCCCATCTTCGTAGATTTTGAACGATCCATCTACCTGCTTCTTCTTTTCCAGTTTCTTCTGAATCTTGGCCTTGCCCTTGGCTGTTGAATGCAGTGTGGCCTGGAAATAAAACCAGCTTTCTTAAAACAAAATTTAAGGTCTTAAACACAAACATAGGCACATTTTTCAAAATAAATTCCGTTTTGAAAGACTTCAATAAAAAGTCTACCAATAGAAAGCACTGTTGACAAAGACCTCAACGATTCCACTTCATAACTTCTGATGTTTACTTTTACACCTCAATCTGACAATGGAAGAACACAGAAAGTATGTCTGGCCATTAGATGGCAGAAGCTTTTGTTCATGCTCCAGTTATCTATCTTCTGATTCATTCTGCCATCACAAGATATCATCTGTCCATTTTATGTCTTCTGCTTATCTAAGGATAGGATTCCTCACATTCTTTCTAAAAAAAAATCTTCCCAGTGAGTTTTTAGCCTGCTCTGAGATGTGCTCAGAAAACCTCCGATACAAGGTATCCAGTTGAAATTCTGACCACACATCTAAACACCTTTGATGCAGAGGAGTAACCATTCTGCTATAAGCTTGCTTCTGTGTCTATAAGACTGAGTCTACACTGGAGCAGAGCAGAGTAGGGCATAGATCACTACATGCAAGGCCTCATTTCATTTTACCATCTTCATACTATATTACTGTTGAACACCACACCAAGTACTTCCCTAAATCCACAAAACACAACCTGGACAACCATACTACAATAATTTTCTCATAAACTCTACAAGGATAAGTATCTATTCCTCTGTTCAATGTCCAGAGCAAAACTTACACTGCTGCTTTTGATCAAGGATCAATGTTTGACAATCATCCGGAGTCTGCCTTCCGTCACTTTTTGGTAAGCTTTTACCCCTCTGGCTCAAAACCTAGCACTTCCTTAACTACTTAATCAACAACTAACCTTACCAGGAGAGTTTAAAGTGAAAAGTTAAAGATGAAACTAACCAGTCAAAAACAACCAGTTTCTATGTTTAAACAAAACCTTGGGTTTGTGGGCTAAGTCTTCATCAAGTTTTCAACATCAGTGTCACATAGCACATAGTTTGAAAAAATGGTTGTAATTTCAATTTTTCTCAGAAAAACCATTATTAGCATATAGAACACATATAGTATTATACTTGTTCGCATCTGACTCATAACCACCTGTGAATATGGCATGTTGGAGGTGACTGTGTTGAACTTGCGGCTTAGTGTGCTGCTGCTGGTGTAGCTGGAGAAGCTAATAGCATCCAGGTTGTCCAGAGCCACTGACTCCTTCATGAACTTCTTCTCCATGCGCTCCCGGTGCCTCATTTGGAGCTTCTCACAGTCTTTGATGCGACGCTCTGCAGCCCGAAATGCTCGGTCCTTCAGCTTACTGACCAGCTTTGGGTTGAGGGTGATCTGCTTGGAGGCAGTGGAGTCCAAATATCGAACACACTCCATGTGGCTCTTGGCGGCTGCCATGTCCAGAGGTGTGTGATAGTCATTGTCCAGACACCAAAGGTTGGCACCGAAAGCCACCAGGAAGGAGAGCGAACTGAGGTGGCCGTTGGCAGCTGCCAGATGGAGTGGCGTGTTCCCCCAGATGTCACATTTGTCTGGATCACCTCTAAGAAACAGGAGAGGAGATGTCTAAATAAATGCATTGAACTGATCCTAATGCTAATCTTAAAGGTTTTCTTTTCGTCTGTAGACACTGGGAGATTTCTTGTAGAAAAGGAAGAATCTACTTTAATTGTGAGTATGAGTTAATTTAGTCAGGTAGGGGAAGATTTTTTTCTTCAAATTAATTAGATATCTACAAATTATCATTAAGAGGATCAAAACTGGCTAATTAACTCATTTTAAAGTTAGATTAGAATAGAATAGAATCAGCCTTAATCGTCTTTCTAATTCTAATTTCAAAATAGTTACAGGTAGTTGGGTAACCTGATTTTCATAAAATCCATTCTTTTCCTCCTTCCTCCTGATATTAAGTTATAAGTAGAAGCCCTATATGCAGTTTATTCCCCCAGGTGTTACTGTATCATTATCAAGAACATAAACAGGAGCATTCAGCTGCAGCAGCGACAAACTTTCTTTCTTTTTTTCCCTCCTCTTACACGTCCAGTCCATGATCAATAATTGAAGCTCTGCAGGTTAAACATGACAGAGGTGATGTTGCATTATTCATCCCACACACCCAAAGGCTTTTTTTCACACACAAACACGCAGTCACCACTACAGGGCCATCGGCCTCATCAGCATCACCTCTGACTTTATTTTCAGCCTGTGACCCTGATGGACCTTACTAAAGTTCTTCATTCAGGTGTTGGTTTAAAAGCTGTAATGCAGATCCAGTTGCAGAGGTGGGAAATGTATCACTTTAGTAACATGCAACAGGAATCACACCTACAGTATGTAGCTTAGACAGTAATCTGATCACATGTAGCTCCAGTTTAGAGGTGAGAAAGCAGAGATAAACAACAAAAAACAAATCTATATACTTGAAACATGAAAATATGTGGCTGCTGTCAAGAGCAATTGTTCTGAGGAAGCTCTGACTGTGAGACTTTATTTGTAATTCATTTAAAATCATTAAATTCAACTCAAGTTGTTTTTGGCACTCATTTTTTCTTTTAATCCCAAGAAATGTATGAGATATGAAATTCACAGAATAGTTAGGTGTTTGCTTGTTATTATTCAATTTAATGTAATTAAAATGATTTAACCTCTAAAACCTAAACACTATTGCCAAATACAGAGTGAGAATATAATGTATGTTACCATGGAGTGTGACCATCTATAATTGTAAACAGAGGAAGATTGTTTTTTTGAGAAAAAAAAACACTTTGCTAACTAGAATAAATGTAGCTGTTTATTCACAATACAAGAGAACTGGGCGAGCTTTCCAGATTTCCTCAAAGATCCTCCAATGCAGAAAAAGATATTTGGCTAATATTCTGCCATGACAATGACTGTGGTGGAATCTGTGTTGTTTGTTGGCAAATAGTTTCTCAGGTAAGAAAATATGTTGCTTAATTTTTATGTACCAATACAAAATGTATTTTGATGTTCACAGATTGTGAACATCAAAACTTTAACCAGTGTTGGACTTTCACCCACCATAGACTAATTGCACGAGCTGGAATAACTATTAATTCATCAATACACTACATTAACCCACTTTGGTTCGAGCAGCAGGAAGAGGAATTGTTTCAGGAATTCCTGAAACATTCTGCATGTCACTTGGAAATCATGTGCCCATGACCAGCATAAATATGCTTTGTTTCATGTGTCAATCCTGAGGGAAACATCAGGGAGGACATTACATAAGTTGAATAATCTGAATTATTGTACTGCTTTTTCATTATTAATATTTAGAACTATTAAAACGGAGCAGGCCTTATTACCATCTGCTTTTTTAAGGGGTATTTTCTCTTTAATTCTAGACACTAAGCTAGATAAAACTACCTTAAAAGCATCCTGAAATGTCCCCTTTCTTAAAGATAATGGTAGCTACGCTAAATGTAGCTCAGGGGTCCAGTCATCAAAAACACTGGGGCTCATTAACAATTAATATTGCTAATTATGGTGCTTTAAGTCACCTTTCTGGTATTCCAAATGATCAAATTATTCATCACTGCGGTGATCGATAAATATTTTGATTTAAAACATGTATACAATCATCATGAGCTATCAGCTTGAAGACATAAACAATATGACACTTCCCCTTTGATTTCTATGACTTTGAGTGTGCACCTGTTATTATGTAAAAGTAAATTAAAATAGAGATGCGGCTGAAGGGCTACACAGTGGTGCAGTTGGTAGCACCCTTGCTTTGTAGCAAGACAGTTTCCCAGCCCGGGATCTTTCTGCATGGAGTTTGCATGTTCTCCCTGTGAATGTGTGGGTTCTCTCTGGGTACTCTGGTCTATAATATAAAATCCCAATAGCATAAAGTAAACACTGAGATTTAATTGCAAAGCAACAAAAGTGGAAATGTTAAAGGCACATAAATATATTTCCAGGGCCCTACACATTTAGCAGTGTTATAGTTTTTCCATCAATAAATTCAAATTGTTTCTCTTTTAATACATATGTGCCTACATTCTTTGTAAATATGCTGTTTCTTGGCTTAAAGTAGATTCTATTGGGCAAAAATAAATAAAGGAAAATTTGGAGACATGGGTGAACAGACATTCTAACTGTTATATAAAAAATAAAGATTCTTTGCAAGACTGAAATGTTGGCCACTGTAGTAAAAAAAGCAACTATACAAATTCCTATGTTATTGACACATTCATTGCAACAATTTGTGTGTGTCTTTCTTCTGGTCTGTTTCTATCAATCAATCTCTGTGACCTTTCCAAGAGTCAGCTGTCCTTGGCATCACTGCATGCCCTATAAACCTGCAGTTATAGGGTAAAGGGCACCCAGATTGTTTCATTCTGCTTCAACAGATTACAAGGAGCCACTTTGATCAGCATCCTGCTGTGATTGTAGCTTGAAAATCTCAGCAAATGTTGATCCTAAAAACTTTCCTGCATCTCAACATAGACATGCAGCCAAACACAATGGATTTTCATCCTTAGATCATTTTTAATCTAGTTGAGTGAAATTATTACTGATGGCTTCTGGATATGATTTAGTGCCAGCCTGCAGCTCAGGCTGGCCTGTTCTAAAATTGATCATAACTGCTGAACTTGAAGCTGTCACAGTGTGCATTCAGTTGTTAAACCTGACTTTACTATCTTTCTTCCTTGGGGCTGTAAAACCTTCTATATGTCCCTACACTATTAAACTGCTGAGGAAGGAAGAAGCATTTATTCTAAATATTGTATTTATCAATTTTGTTTTTTTTCCAATAATAATAATAATTCGATTTTAAACTAGACTTTGATTTGGTTAAATAAATAAAAAACACACTTTTGTTACGGACTCACCCTCTGCCAACGATGAGCCGCAGAGCCTCCAGATTGCCGTGGTAAGCGGCCCATAAGGTCGGCGTCATCCCATCTTCGTCCGGGGCGTTCAGCTCCTTCCGTGTGGCTTCCTTCAGAATGTCCAGGTAGCCGTCCCGGGCCGCCCGGTGGTACCGGTCATTCATGGCGGCCTTGGCTGAGTTTCAGCTCCAGTCCATAACCTTTAGTCCCTTTGAAGAGGCGACTTCTTGGTTCTGTCCGGGACTCTGTTGATCCTGCGGCCTGCGGAGCCCAATGCCGGGCAGCTGGTTGCTGAGATACGTCGTCCTGCTGTGAGTCAGGAATGGGCGGAGTTGTCTCCACGTAAAGACGCGCCCCGCTTCACGTATAAGTCAAACCTGGAGCGTCCTTCAGTTTTGAAGACAATTTCGAATCCCGAGAAGTTAAGTTTAAGCACCTTCTTTAATGTCATTGTTTTCACATAGATGTTTTTTAGTTACAACCCCCACAACTTTTAAGTGTCATTGAGGTGTACAAAGGTCAAATAACACTAAATTTTATTTTAGGTCAGTGAGATTCTTTAAAAAATGGTTGAAAATCTGATACAGTCGCAAGCAGTCATATTCAGTATGTTCTCAAATATTTTACTTTATGTCCCTTGAGTGTCAGAGATCGCCTTGTTGGGGTCATCAGGGGGTCACTGTCCACACAACAAGTCATTAGCTACACGTTACCGACTAGTAAAAAGTATCCACAAAAACCTTTTTTTATAAGCTGGAGAGAAAAAAAATGCATTAGCTAATGCACTCACCTTGCTACATTCAAAAAATTTTTGGTAACCGAAGACATAAAAGACAAAAATGCGTCACTCCTCTTAAATCCACACTCAAATATGCTCACTGCTCTACATTTTGTCAGTCAAAGAAAACTACAAGCGCTATACAAACACATAAATACTTACAAAGACGAAAGTTTTCCAAAGTACGCACAAAGCGTATAAACGGTTACTGCCTCCCCAACTGCCCAAATTCTTGTTGCCAAGGTTACTGGAGAAAAGTAGGTCAGATATTGTTTGCTAAGAGCGCTCACTCCGTCATGTTTCTACAAACATACGAGTAGCACAGATGTCCTACTCGAATCAAATTCCAAACCCAATTTTTTCACTCTGAACTAATTTATAGTATATTTGACTGAATCCCCACAGTTACACATGCAGTAGGTACAGAAATTATTTTCCATTTTAGTTTGACTGACTGCAGCAAATCGATTCAGAAATTGATATGCATTTTATCCATTCTTTCATATGCACTTATTTATATTTGATTTCTTTTTAAAGCTGCAGATTGCTTGTATTACTACAATTATCTACCGTTTTTTTTATTTTTAAGAAATAAAATACAAAAACATACATATTTTTGACAATTTGAGTTAGACTTTATCTAGCTGCAGCATAAATCTTTGCTACAGCTGTGTTTTACTGTGTGTACTAAATCTTCTGTAGTGCATTCCAATTGGCTCTGAAATCAAGTATTTGAGTGAATAACACTTTTAGGTGTGTACGGGGAAAATATTTTGAAGTACTTTTGATGAGTTAAGAACATTATATTCAACCAATGATTTTCATGTTGGATTTATTGCACAATGAAGAACTTTCAGGGCATGTTTAGAGTATCTTTATTTTTTTGAGGAAGTTGGTCAAAGATCATCTGGCAGAAGCTTGTTATTGAGGTCAACTCCAGCAGCTCCTCTAAATCCTCTGAATCTCAAAAAGCCTTATGTCCGTATCGTACCAGATTGGAGGATCCATATTCCTTCAAAGAATAGAAGGAAGAGTGAATAAAACTGTTTCAGCAGCCAAACTGAAATCCACTGTGAATCTACATCCGGTATGTTTACCGAAGGTAGATGACTCCCCACATGTAGGTCCGGAACCACATGGCAGTGCCAGTGTTGGCCTGGTATTTCCTGATCAGGATAGGGTGAGGGATTGGGAGGAGGCCCACCAGCGTGCCGTGCTGCAGGAACCTCAAGATCTCTGACTCATCTGTTAACCCCCTGAAGATAAAACAAAATCTCCTCATTTGATCCAGCTCTAAACAATCGGAACATCTCAGATTGAAGAATCCAATTCCCAAAATATTAACGTTTTTGCTTATTTGTAACTTACAGCAATCTCTTGTAAATCAGCTAAACTATTAAATCCATCTGGCTTCTAATTAAAACTTTTCTCCTACTTGTCGATGCAGATCTTCTCCACTTGAGGGACCAAGACTTGCAGAAGCCGCATGATGGTTTGCAGAGGAAGTCTAGATTTCCATGACAACATCTAACAGAAACAGGTAAATAAAGCATAAAATCTCATGACAAAAACCAACAAGCAGCAGAAAAAATACATTTAAAAAAATCCCTCTCTCACCCAGTCTGAATTAGCGGTCCAGGTGGTAGTAGATGAGACGCTAGACATTCGACTTCTTGACGTCTGTGACCTTGTGAAGACCTGATGACAGGATGAAACTGAGAAACCAGAAAAATAAACAGAGTGGGAGAAGCGATGTATCTGCTGTACCTCGTGGTCCCTTTCTGAGTTGGACTCCGTGTCGCTGGCTCCATTGATGGCACCACGGTCAGGTGGTGTTGCCGAAGAGCTTGATCGAGGCAAGGCAATCATTGTTCCATCTTCGCTTACCTGAGATTTCTCTGTAATCTTATCAATTCCTGAAACAACATGAGCCGTTACTTCCTGCTGAGAGAAAAAAAAAGGATGCCTGACAGGAAATGTGTGGCCTGACTTGAAAATGGAATTTCTCCATCAAATCTGACTAGTATTTTGAATAATTTTGCAAAGAAGAGGGTACAAACATTTCAGTAGATATGCGAAGTTTGTAGAAGACATCCACAATAGCCTTGAAGATGTGATTGCAGTTTCTAAGTAACACTGAAGATTCTAAATACAAATGCAAGCCACACTTTTCAGACAGACACAAAAAACCCATGTCTTACTAATCTTCCAATGTTCACTTTAATTTGTTGCTTCTAGTGCTCTAACTTACCTTTTTCTGGTCATATTACTTTAAAATTTGTCCATTCTTTCACAATTTTTTCAGACTCAAGTTGGCTTGGTCACATTTTAATTTACACTTTTATGGTTGGTTTAAAATTTAGTTCTTTTCAGATTACAGGTCCCAGCGTAGCAGTTTTAAGCTTTCCATAATAAATTACTTTGGTGTTTTCTTGTCTGTAAATAAATTTCTGTCACTGGAGCTTTTCTTAGTTTTTTTTTTAATCATTTTATTTCACCTACTCATTTGTCAAAGTTGCAAAAAAAGAGTATTTTAGAACTTCTTAACTTATTATATATTTATTCTTGGCAGTTTCTTCCCCACCTGGAGTGGCCTCTAAGGTGGCTTTGAGTGTCCCAGGCTCAGCAGGTGCAGCAGGTCTGGAGCCCTCCATGGACTCGCCATCTGTGGAGTTTAGGCGGGAGATCCCAGACTTCTTCTTCTTCTGCAAAGTTTTCTGAATGGATGCCTCATCCGTGGGGAGGTTGGCTAGCTGGTGGAAAACGCTCCTCTTGCGAATGATGGCATATACTAGGTTGAAGTTACCTATGGGGAAGATTTCAGACATCAAAAGGGTGCCCCAAATGCAGCTCCATTCACAAGATCCCATTGTTGTTCTAACCATCAAACTGATACTGGATGATATTGTTGAAGACCTCCAGCAGGAAGAAGACCAGGTTGTGGTTCTGAGGTGCAGATAGGAGGTACCAGGGCATGGAGAAGGCCTCCAGCAGGTGGAGCAATTTGTTGGCAGCCACCATTGACAGGCTCTTTAGATAGGGTGAGACTACAGAGGTAGAAAGTGTGCTTACATCAACTCTCCACTATGGGGCAGCATTGTCTACAGGCATACTTACTGTTTACGATTATGGTGAGCAGGCAATCAAACAGAGGATGGAGACGCTGGTGTCCACAGGTAATTACTTTGTGAAAAATCTAAACAAAAAGGGACATAAATATGACTCTTGGCACTACTGAGAGCATATTATAATCTAAAGCTGAAAAATAAAAATAAAAAATTATAAAATTATAATTTGCAGAATCTGCCAGTTTGTGTGGAGTTTCAGTAAGCTTTTCAGATTTGAAAAGAAAACCAACCTTTTAAGGATTTTCTTATATTTTCTGTTTTAATGTGAAATATTTGTAAAGCATAGATAGCTTGTTAAGGTTTAGCAGATTGATAATCTCTTAGTCAAGTGAAGTAGGTCTCTCACCACTATGAGCAGGTCAGCATGGGTTCCTGTAAAAACAGGAATATCCATGGGGACCCGGAGCGTGTACGGTTTATTCAGTCGAACACCAAAGTTTCTCTCTCCGCTCAGCAGCAGCAGAATGAACACGCCAATGTGCATGAGGCCGACCCGAGCTGCACAGGCACACAAACATGAAAAGCTTTTAGAAGTTTGTGCAGTTTACCCTTGCCTATGTACGGAAATGTATATTTTTGTTGGTGTTTTTGCTCAGATGTCACAGAAAATGTCTCACACTGATCTGCTCTGGCATCGTTCAGGTAGAACAGGATGGGAACCAGCATCTCCAAGACGTCACTGCTCTTTAGGACGAAGAACAGGAATTTCTGCCACATGCAGAAACAATCATGTTAGTGGGTTAAAGACAAGTGCTCTGTTAGGTTACACTAGGACATAATGAGTTATACTATGAAAAGTGAAAAGAACAGAATTTTAAAAATGCAAGAAGCCTCGCACTTTGTTAAAATCGCAGAACTTCCAGAACAGAATAAGCAGCTCCTGGTGGAAATGGATCTTCTTGGTGGATCGTGGAAGGTACGTCTGGATCAGAGGGTTGTTGAGCAACTGAGCAAAACCTCGGAGGACGAAACTCAAATCCTGTTGAACCAATACAGAGAATGTGCTAAAACTTCCAATCAGAAATTTTGTATTTGTAGATGAAATTGAAGGTTTACAGTTTGGTACCTCCTCCCTGTGGATCCTCGAGAGGTAATTCACAAAGAGGTTGTCTGGTCCAGCTGGCTGTATATTAACACAAAAGTATATTTAAAAAAAATGTAATTCTTCATTTCAACCTATGTATATATTTAAATGATTTTCTGTTTGACTTATGTTAAAGGTTTGGAGAGACTGACCATGAACTTGCAGAAATAGGGATAATTAGGAAGTAAAATTAAATTAGTTCAGTCATAACCTTTTTTTTTTAAGCTGTGTTGTTACTTCTTTAGTGGACCTTTAACATTTTTGTTTCACATTGTTTGCTGTATAGAGTGTAACTTTTTCCAGCAAAATGGCAACAATAACATTTATCCATGATACCTCTAATTCCTCAGATGGATTGGATGAGGAGGAGTGCAGCTCCTGGAGGGCAGCACACACAGCCGACCCAGTCTCATGCTCCAGGGTGACAATCAGGACCTGTAGTGCATGCTCCACTAGTTGCTCTCGGTAGTCTGAGAACAGCAGATGGTTGTACGGGATACCGTATCCCACTGGGTCGTAGGAACAGACCACGTTCAACAGGGATGTGAAGAGCGGCAAGGCATGTCTGAAGCAGTGCAACAGAGATAATCCTGTTTTTTATAAACATAATAAACTGGAGAGGTTTAGAGATGGAAACTGTAAATAATACAAGACCAAGATAAGTTGTTTTTGGATATAGGAGAAAAACGGTGAAAGTCCTGGAGTAGAAATCTCAGCCTCTGGACTTTAACATTATTGTGCCAATTTGGGGATATCTCAAATATGCAGTTCATGCAAGAAGAGCTAAGAAAAAAGGAACTGAAGGACATTTTCCAAGTGGAATTACAAGTTCTTTCCATTTTTACACTTTGAAATGCTTACTGTTTTCACTGCGCCTGCAAAAAATAATCCACTAGGACAAAATAACAAAAGCAATCAGTCTTCTTCTGGACTGCAGTCAAATAAAATAAACGGTAAATGCTCAAAAACCACAGATTTAGACAGACTATCTGAATGTGGCTTTTTTGAGCCATGCCAACCTGT